TAGTAAGTTAAACATTTTGTCTTTGATTAAGACTTTGAGCCTCGATTACAGAGAAATAACATTCATAGAATTTGACAAAAATGTTTCAATAGTTGAGAAACTTTTCATTTAATTCATCGAAAAGTTTCTCGACAATGTGGACTTCACAACAGATTGTATATCTTTTGAATACGGGTTGCACCGATTTCAATGCACGAGAGAATAAGTTTTAAGGTCCAGATTTGAAGGCACTATTCCATAAAGATTGTTGTCAATCTCAAAATGAATTCATTGGAATATACTTTAGCAGAAATTTCAAAATGTTTGCGAACAGCAGGCTTCTTCAAACAGCAGGGAAATTGGGTACCATACGAGACCTTGAAAGACTTTGCATGTCTGAACTGCTGCTTGAATGTTATAAAAGAAAGTACATTTTTAACCGAGTCATAACTTGCCATGAAAAATTGATCCATTTCAATAACCCGAGGTTGTATGTAAAGGCCGATCAACTAGCCGAATCGATACCGATGCTTAATACAACTCGGGCTAAGGTAAGGCTCAGTTTTCGGTGAAACCAAAAGAGTTCATGAACCTATACCGAAAGTAATTGATTCGTTAGAAGCGAGAATTGTTCGAAAAATCCCAGACTATGTTGACATGAAAGCTTAATATTCCATCAAGACAATGACTCTGCCACATGTTGCAATATATGTTGAAAACTATTTAGAAATTTCATATCTATTATGAATTGCAAAAATATGGCCAGACTATTACAGGGAACTTGTACCGAATGCAACTGATACGTTACAAGCTATCATTGGCCGAAAAACCACCAGAATATGCAGTCAGACATGAATGCGTACTACTCCATCATGAGAACCCTCGGCCACATGTTACAATATCTGTTTAAAACTATTTCTAACCACTTCATTGTTTGAAAAATCTTCCTCCGATCGACTACTACTATCGATTTAGAACGATCTCTCTAGGTTACGTTTCACTTCAGAACAAGGTTATCGAAGTTGGCTAGACTTGTCCACAGCGTTATATTCCATCATGAGTTTGTTCGGCCATACCTTGCCCCATACCAGTTTAAAAAAGTTTAGAATAATGTGATTGGAAAATCTTACTCCGATCGATTATTATGTGTTTCGATCTATGCAGAACGCTCTCTCTAGGTTACGCTTCACTTCAGAACAAGCTTACCGAAGTGGGTTGATTCGTTTATGTGCTCTAAAAAAGAACAGTTCTTTTGAGCCCAGAACCCATATGCACCAGATAAATGGGAAAACGTCATTTAATGCTACGTATTTTGTAGGATCAAAACAGTCTTATATCTTGTGAGCTGCTAAAATCTGACCACCTTATCATTGAGAACATAGATTATAAAATGCTGCCGAATTGTTTAAATAACGAACTGGCCGAAAAACCCCCAGAATATGTGGCCAGATATGAAAGCATAATGACAACGCTGACGCATATTGCATACTTGCTAAAAGCTATTAAGAATAAAAGCTACATATTTCCAAAAAAGATCTGCTGTCCATAACTTAAATTCTAGAGAATTTATCGAACACGTTTTTTACTAAAAAATTTCCTTATCTTTAGATATTTTTATAGATTTCTTAAAGGAAATAGATTTGAATCCTGTCTGAATTTCTCTAATGATGATTTAAACAAAAAAAAAAAATAAAACATTTCCTTTTAAATAAACAAGTTTGTTACAAAATAACAAAAAATTCACCTTAAATAATTAGGAACACTAGTTTATGGCAACATTTTTAATCTCAATTTGTCTGCCACACTTGCAAACTTCATTTAAACGATTTATTGGGATTTGCTACAAATTCAAAGGAAGACATTAATAAATAGAAAAATAAGAAAAATAATTTATTAGAAATATTGAAAGAAAATGCCGGTTACAAACAAATAAATAAAAGAAAAAAATCAAGGTGTAAAATAAAACACTGAGGAACAGTAATGGTATTCAATAAAACTGGCAAATTTAAAAACAAAATGAATATTAAGAAAACAAAAATAAATTTCCCAAGATTTTTGTTAAGTGATTTCTGCTGTTATCATAAAGTAATGTTTTTTTTCAAAAATTTCTTTAATAAGTGCATCTCCTTATTGTTATTAACACAACACATATGATTTTTCTTTTTTTATTTAACAATAATAAACAAAACGTGATTGTTTGTAAGGGAGAGAGAGATAGTGCGGTTTGCTGAGTAAAAAAAAATCTGTTAACAATCATTGGCAACATCCATTGCCATCATCAAACACATCAAGTACAAGTTTAGTACAAGTTTTTGAACTTGTTGTTGCTGTTTGTTGTAACATCAACAACCACAACAACAACAAAAAACTTGTCTAGAAAAGCAGGTGAATACAAAAAATTTATGTATTTTTCTTTTTGTTCTTTATTTTTTTAAAAGGTTGCTAATTTTTTTTTTATTTTCATAAACAAAATAGCAACTTTGAAAAACGACTCATTTCCTTAACGTTCTGAAAGCCAGGAACTTAAAGGGATGAGTTCTTTAAAAGTTTAATAGATTTTCTAAAAGAGGCTTTATTAGTTAGGTTAGAAGAGTATATAATACATCAGATCCGAAGTAATTCAGCTAAACCATCATTGGGCCGGCGTTGCGCTCTTTTAAAGGAAAATATTGGTGAGAAAATCTTATACAGTGAAAAAAAATATTCACGCCTGTTACCAAATTGACAACATCCGTTGCCCAGTATATACACACATACAACAACAACATGTAATGTTGACCACGCAACGTTGTCAAAATTGCAACAATTCGTTGTCGCATTCTAAATTTTATGCACATCCGTTATCTAAAAGTTAACAAACGTGTTAAGCTCACTATTGACAACGGATTTTGAGCTTACCACGTTTGTTAATCTTTAGACCACGGATGTGCATAAAATTTAGATTGCGACAACGAATTGTTGTAATGTTGACAATGTTTCGTGGTCAACATTACATGTTGTTATTGTATGGATGTTTATGTATACTTGACAACGGATGTTATTGAAAAATTTGGTGTCAATTTGGTACCAGGCGTGTAATTTTTTTTCTCCCTGTGTACAATTCCAATTTCCTGCAATATCTTCGCTCCCGAAATATTTGGATCTTATTTCGACGATAGTCCGGTAATAAGAAAGAAATTGTTTCAGAATTTCACTCTACTTTCCGCATACTTAAGTCATTTCGATAAGGTGGCCTTATTTATATGGAACCTGGAATCAGAACCTAACTTGGTCTAAATCTATTCAATACTGACACCTAGAACTGATCTGAAAGGAATAGTTCAATCTAAAATTTCAACATTTGATCCAAAAGTTTAAAACAACAGACAGACGGACTTGATAAAATCGACTACCAAACTGCTTTGAATGTACTTTTAGCGAAACTTTTACTTACCGGGTAAACAGGAAAGTAATGTGGGGTCTATGCATACTTTCGGAAATGAATAACTAATAATTTTTGTTCGACGATGATCCCGAAATAACTATTTACAAATAAACCTACAAATAAGTCGGGATTTTAAGCTCAATGAAATAATTTGGTTGATAATGAACACTCATTACTCAGTAATGTATGAAATAACTACTGGCCATTACAAAAAATTTCAGATTTTTAGCTGAGCTATTGATGATTTTCTAATTTTTGTGTAATTTAAAGGAAATTTATTTCTTTTTCTTTTTTTTAAAGTAAGTAAGAAATTATAGTCGGGCGAGGCCGACCATATAATACCCTACACCATATACAAAAATAAAATGTCATTTAGTTTTCATAATAAAGCTTGGTTTTGCAGTTTTTGTCGAGATACGATCATATTAAATATAATTATGAACTTGAAAGCCTTATTCGTCATGTACGGGGGCTAGGTGAAATAATAGACCGATGTTAGCCATTTTCAATAGCCTTCGTCTCCGGTACCATAGAAGATTATGTGCCACATTTCATTAAATTATCATCAAAATTGCGACCTGTAGTTTGATTACAAGGTTTACAAAGCCTATTCAGGGATTCAGTTGTATGGGGGCTAGGTGAAATATGGGACCGATCTTAACCATTTTCAATAGGCTTCGTCCCTGGGACAATAGAAGATCATATACCAAATTTCATTGTATTATCTTCAAAATTTCGACATGTAGTTTGATTACAAGGTCGGACGGACGGACATAGCTAAATCGACTCAGAAAATGATTCTAAGCCGATTGGTATACTTTAAGGTGGGTATGGGACCAATATTATTGTACGTTACAAACATCAGCACAAACCCAATATACCCTCCCCACTAAAGTGTTGTAGGGTATAATGAAATTCTTTTATAATTCTGTCCCCTACAAACAATGATTTATATAATAAAATATAGTTTCTAGACTCGCTTAGCTTATCAGTTTAATTAAAATAAAAAAAGACTAGTAAAATCACATCACTATACGTACTTAAAGTTATCGGCTAATCTAATCTCTCTTTTTTCAAGTAATTTCAAATATAACAACCACAAAAATAACAACAAAAACTACAACGAAAATTTGCTTTCAACATACTTTTTTTTCCTCACGTTTTATTAATTAATAAAACGTTTTTTTTTTCCATAAACAAGACAAAAATTATAAACAAGACTTAAAAAGTTCGCACGTGTTTAAATGTAAAAGCAACAAAAAATTTCATTCATTCAAACTTTTATAACAAAATTTTACTCTAACAGTCTGTCTAGCTTTATAAAGCTTGTTTATCTCTATTTAAACTAAAGATTATGTTAATATTCAGTTGAAATTTTTAAATTCAATTCTCTTCTTTATGAAAAAAAAGCAACAGATAAACCCAATGACCTTTTTTCTATTTATATTTCTTTGAAATTAAGTTTAAAGTTTAACCATCAACTACACCCTCTTGGCTTTATGCTAATATAACCAATTAGATTTGCAAATTTATTTTCAATTTTTCATTTCATTTTGCAAAATTTTTTATATTAATAGACAAAGATATCTTAACTTACCAATAGTTTCCTTTTGCTTCTTTATGGTCCGTAGATTCAGAGAAAGTTGTTTTCTGTAATGAAATTAATGTTTAAAATAAAAATTAATAAACAATATGAAATCTTTAAGAACGTGCTTAAATTTATGCTGGAGATAAGTTACATTTCTTTTAAGAGTTTTTGATATATTCAAAATATTTTGAAAGATGTCTTTGTTTTTTTAATAAAATCTTCATAAAGAAAGTGATTATGATAAATGTTTGTCATTAATTTTAATTAGGTTGGTGTTTATGTCAAATATAAAAATATTATGTCAAAAGATCACAAGTAAGAGTGTTATATTCGGCTATGCCGAATCTTATATACCCACCATCAAACCTCGTTTGACTAGAATGAAACTTACTTATGTCGAATTTCATCTATATACTCGTATTTTTTAGGCCAGTTATAAGCGTTAAAGTAATTTTCTGAAGGGGACCTTAAAATGGGGGTAGGGTCAATTATGGGTCGATCCTAATATAATTTGGTAGACAGAATTTGGTTCGTATTAAATTTATTTGTGTCGAATTTCATCGCTACACTCGTATTTTTAAGCCATTAATGAGCGTTGCAGTCATTTTCTAAAGGGGACCTTATATGGGGGGTAGAGTCAATCATGGACCACATAAAATTTTTAGATAGATTTTGACTCGTATGAAACTTACTTATGTCGAATTTCATCTATATACTAGTATTTTTAAGCCAGTAATGAGCGTTAAAGTCATTTTCTGAAGGGGACCTTATATGGGGGGTAGGGTCAATTATGAACCGATCCTCATAAAATTTTGCATAATGATTTTGGATCATAAGAAACTTACTTATGTCGAATTTTATCGCTATATTCGTATTTTTAAACAAGTTATGGCTGTTAAAGCTGCTTTTCGAGGGGCCACTTGTATGGGGGCTATCAGAAAATGTGGACCGATATTGCCCATTTTCAATACCAAACAAACCTTACCTGTAAGAAATATTTATGTAAAATTTCAACCCTCTAGCTCTTTCCATTGGGACTCTATCGTGCTTTCAACAGACAGACAGACAGACAGACGAACGGACGTACGGACGGACAGACGGACAGACATGGCTAGATCGACTTAGAATTTAATGAGGACCCAGAATATATATACTTTTGTGGTCAAGAAAGTATTTTATGTTAATAAAACCTAATATGTTACATCCCATGAAACTTAATATGTTACATCCCAACGAAAAATTTTACATTATTGGTAATGTCCAATAGTTATTTCATACATTACTTGGTAACAAGTGGTCATTATCACCCACATTATTTCATTTAGTTGAATATGTAATTACTGCTAAAAAACAAAGTAATTTAGATTTGTCGTCGAACATAAATAAGTAGTTATTCCCCCAAAAAGTAAGTAGTCCTTATTTAGCTCATTCATTACTTTCCAGATTCCTTAAAATTTTTCAATTAGTGTTCCCGATAGCTAATAAAATATTTGGGATCTAATTTCTACGTTTCTGATTCAGACTAAGATCAACATATTCTGAATCCATTCGTCGAATGAAAGTTTTTGTTTGTTCAGTTTTTATAGTTGTTCCTATAATTCCGTGTGTTCACACGAAGACGTATCGTTATACTACATCGGACTTGCTCATTCTGAGGTGGAATGTGATTCTTAAAGTTCCGCAGTTTCACTGTCTCCTTCGCTTGCTCTACATTTACTGAATCCGTTAGTAAAATGTTGTATAGTTGTAACCGTAATCTTGTTGTAACCTACCGTGGACCTACTGTGATAAGTTGAGCATGTTTAGAGTAAACTCCAAAACACTTAACAGCATGAAGGAAAATCGCCGATAAATTAAAAATTAAGGTATTACAGTTCCGCTAGGTAGGTTGATAGGAGGATGTATACTACATTAAATCCGAAGAAATACATCTGGGGCATTATCGGGCATGTTGTGCGCTCCTTATCATGAAAAAAAGGGAACTGAATGAATTATTTTTCAGTGTTCATAAACTCAGTTTCTTGAACGTAATTCCTAAGAATCTTCCAATTAGTGTTAGTCAGGAATGTTATTTCTGGAAACTCAGTTTCTTGAACGTAATTCCTAAGAATCTTCCAATTAGTGTTAGTCAGGAATGTTATTTCCGGAATAACATCACTTGCAGATACTTGGATCTAACTTCGACGAATGCCTGGCAGTGGCAAAGAAAGTGCTCCAGAGTTTCACTGTCCTCTCCACATGCTCTACATTCGTCTGAATCCGCACGTCCAATTTTGCATAGATGTGCTCGTAATCCTGTGTGTCCACTCAGGACCATCATACTAACTTCAAACTTGCTCATTTTGAGGAGATTTTTCGTCTTGCTCTCATCAGCGTCACCCCATAGGATCTTCGTGGTTCTACCCACTGTTCATTATTCCAAGAGGCCTTATGGAATTCTCTCACCCATATTTTTAGGTCAGCCTTTGTTGCGTCGAATGGTTTCAAAATTCAGGACACGATATCTCAAATCTAAGGTCAGATTCATTGCGGCTTAATCCTTTAGAAAAGTAAAACTTGGTCTTAATTGAAATTTTGTCGGTCTGTGTTATTTGCCTTATCTTTTTCCGGTATGATATTTGTAATGGGGACTTCTGCCTGGAAACAAGTATGCTGATTAGGTAGTCAGTAGTATACTTCGGTTTCTGGGTTTTCAATGTGGATGACCGTTTTGTAACCCAGTTTATACCATCACAATGTTTGTGTATAGCTTTCCTAAAGAAAAGATCCCCAGCAACATGTACACAGAACTTTATGCTATGATTTTGTACTACACTTTTTGTCCAAAGAAGTCGACCAAATTTCTGAAGCATAAGTTAGAATTTACCAAACATATTCCAATTTCGTTTAAAGAGCCTGATATATCTTGTTGGATTTACCGATCAAGCTGCTTCTAACCATTTTTCTAACTGGTTTTCTTTTCTATTTATAATTTCTAAAATCATTACAAACATTGTTAGAATATCTGATATTTTAATCACAATTTGTTTCACTTCTATTTAATTTCAAAAAAATTTCAACAAAATGAAAGTATGACACTTGGCTTTTTAATCTGTTTTCTGTATTTCTCAAAGCATCCAACATCATGTTGCAACAATCTTACTAGTTTTGTTTATTTAGTTTATTTTTCTAAACTTTTAGTTTATATGTCAGACTATTTGACCACATTAGTATTCCATGATTTTATGCCACATAAAAATCCTTGATATGAATTATAAATGACAACAACATGTGACACATTTTTCACAGAAAAAGAAAAAATCCAAGAGGAGATGGGAACCACATAGATACCAAAAGCAAGATGAACTAAAAAAAAAACTTTCAAAACAAATGAAAAACTAGGTTAAATTTAATATTTTCTTTAAGCCACTCTGCCACAGTTTGCTTATCATAGTGGTATAAATATAAAACAACAACAACAACATCTTCTGGGAACAAAATAAAAAAACTTGGCAAAGGACATAAAACATTAACATTGAAGAAAAACTAAAAGCAGACAAAATATTATATATGAATGCCACTGTGTAAACTAATGATGTTAAGAGTATCTGTTCTGTGTGGCAACTAAAAAAACAACTTAAGTAAACATATGACGAAAAAACACAAAAAAAAAACCTAATGGGGATGTTGTTGCACATGTATGTATGTTGATGAAAACATGGCCGAAACCAATGCTGTTGAATTTTTAAACCCACATTTTATGTTCGAAATGTAGTTAGTATGTTGCTTGCAACAAAAGTAAAATACGAGAAAAAAGAGAATAACTTGTGGCGGAAATTTACATTATTAGATTAATGTTTAATAAACATTCGCTGTTGTCTCGTTGTTGTTCTTCTTGTAGTTGCCTGTTGCTCTCAATGGCCATTTATATTACATTTATTCATGTGGCATATACAACTTTTATATGTTCTTTATAGAACACATTTTGCAATGAATTTATTCATTTTTAATAAATAAAATAAAAATAAAAATGTTAATATTTGCCACACACATTCACAAGCGAAATTAAATCAAAATCGACAAAAAGCCAGAAAATTGTGTGGCAAAAAAAAAAAACTTTGTGGAACAGACATTGAAAGATAAATATCAGAAAACATATTAAAAAGAAGTTGAATACGTTGTGTTAAACGCGATCTATAATCGGCATTTATGCAATGCAACTGATTTAGCACATAATTAGGTAAGAATCAGATCAGTTTCCTGGATGTATTGCCGTAGAATTTTTCAATTTTTGATCCTGATATTTTCTTATAAATTCGACTAAAGCCTGTCAATAACAGAGTCCAGAGTTAAACTGTCCTCTACGCACGCAGAAAAAAACATGTTTGTGGTAACCATGTTAGTTAAATTTAACATATAGTTAAATTTATGATTATGATGAGTCTAAACATGTTGTAGTTATTGTAACTATTTTAAAATATCATATTATGATTAAATACAGTTGCAATATTTTATCATAATATTTTCCTATTTATAAAAACATAGTCAGTCATACATGATCATATTATGATCCAAAATAATCATAATATGATTATGCTCAAACATCTCTATATGTCCCAAGCTGTATGAGTATGATGTGCATGACAAAAGTTGTTTTGTTGTTGTACCAGCAGACATACATTTAAGAACATGACATGTAATGGTTATTTGTTAGTTTAAATAGTTGTAAAAACCATAATATGTTTGCATTTTTATCATTCTTTAGTTGTTGGAACAATAATTATGTTTCGGTGAATCATATACCTCATTGTCATGAATAATAAAATGTTTACAGTAACTAAAATATTGTTAAAATTTAATTAAAGTAACCTTAAAGTAACAATTATTTGTTTTTGATAGCAATGTATTGTTACAATGAACATACTATAGTTAGAGTAACCAAGTCGAAGAATAGTTATTTTCAGAGTGCGCAGTATAGTTGTGCCCATTAACCTGTATGTTCACTCGTAAACGTACCATTATGATTGTGATCACCCCATAGGATTTTAGTGTTACTATTCACCGTTCTATTATTCCAAGTGGCATGATATTCTCTCTCTCTCTCTCGCTTTACAACTAGTTTAAATATTTCTAAAAACCATAATATGTTTGCATTGTTATCATTCTTTAGTTGTTGGAACAATAATTACGTTTCGGTGAATCATATACCTAATTGTCATAATTAATAAAATGTTTACAGTAACTAAAATATTGTTAAAATTTAATTAAAGTAACCTTAAAGTAACAATTATTGGTTTTTGATAGCAATGTATTGTTACAATGAACACCGAACGGTTTTGCATTCGTTCCCTTTTCTTTATAGCAAATATATTCACTCTTTTATTGTCGATTGTACCGAAAGGAACTGGTAACCATATGATGAAAAGCTTACCAATGGAAGAGTATCTGGCTATGGCTCTCTTACAGTCCAATACGGTCCTAGATTTAACCTTATCAGCCAGAAAATGTTAGACTCTGTTGGCGCCTTATTCAATGCCATTTATCTGGGATCAAGGTCTCACAGTTCTCGACAATTTTAGTTTCCGGGATGCGATCTATACAATTGTCTACTATATCCGGAATATATCGATGACCAGTCTGTAAACGACTTAGGTTAATTAGCGTAAAGACAAAAGTCGCTCGGCTGTGAGTTTTACCTCGTATCTTATTTCATCGATCGAAGGAATGTCCACAGTTTTGATCGACGTAGTTCTCATGGAACCACTTACATTCAAACTATGGCACTACGTTACACTTTCTGTCCATAAAGGGATTTATAGATAATTTTCGATAAATGTTCTCGTGTTAGAAAATTTTCGATAAATCCAGAGTTTTCAAAAAATTATCATTAACTGCTCCTATTAACCCCTTTCAGTTAAAATAACGCACAAAATTAAAATATCGATTTCAACACTGACTTCATTTCTGCTGTTGCTGCAACACTTGCAGCTTCTAATTAATGACTGATTCTTTCCACTCTTCAACCACAAAAATTCCTACAGCTGTTGTAAAAATGCTAATGATAATGGCCAACACTGGCTGGTCGGTCATAATGCTTTTTACTCAGGCAATTTTGATGAGGCGAAGCATCTTAAGAAGCTGTTTAAAATTCAACTTTTTCTTCTAAAGCCTCAGTAGAAAAAGAGTAAAGTTTATTTATATTTATTTTTTTATTAAGTATAAACAAAAATTTATAAAAAAAAACAATGAAAAACTGTGTGACGACATGCTAACATTAAAAATTTTCAAGACAATTTCATGTTACCAAGTTTACAAGTTCAACACTTGACTCTGGAAAATATTACACACACACACATACAAAAACTTAAGCCAGACTCCAAAGAATAAAAATCTTGCAAAAAGTTTTTATTATAGTGTTGTTTATAAATACATTAATATAATTCTTTATTTATTTTTTTGTTAAATAAAGAAATAACTAAAACAATTCATATCTTTTGGCTGTGTTGCAAAATAAAATAAAAAAATCTATGTGAAAATACTATCAAGCAGCAGTAGAGATACAGTACCAAAATCGTGCCCAAAGAAAGTTTCTTTTTTAATTTTTTCCTCCTTTCTTTCTCAGTCTGAATTTATTAGGTGGTTACAGTTTTTTTTACTTCTATTTTAGCTACTTTTTTTGCATTATGAACTTTATTGGTAGACCTAATCATATTATAACTTTTTTCATAGTTTTGGTTTTCTTTATTAAAAAATAAATATTGAAACGAAAACTGGAACGTGTGATTAAAGAACAATTTTTTTTTTGCTAAACAAGTTTTTTTCTTAAAATCATTTTTAAGATTTATTTTAATGAAGAATTAGCTTAAGTATAAATAATTGTAAAATTAATAATGAAAATTGAATTTATAATTGTTTAAGTTTTACCAATAAATTTCTTACTGATTCAACAAATGAAAGCTTGAAATTATAATTTTTAAAAATATCGTTATTTTTTTTTAGTCTAGTCTATAGTCTAGTCTATAGTCTAGTCTATAGTCTAGTCTATAGTCTAGTCTATAGTCTAGTCCATAGTCTAGTCTATAGTCTAGTCTATAGTCTAGTCTATAGTCTAGTCTATAGTCTAGTCTATAGTCTAGTCTATAGTCTAGTCTAGTCTAGTCTATAGTCTAGTCTATAGTCTAGTCTATAGTCTAGTCTATAGTCTAGTCTATAGTCTAGTCTATAGTCTAGTCTATAGTCTAGTCTATAGTCTAGTCTATAGTCTAGTCTATAGTCTAGTCTATAGTCTAGTCTATAGTCTAGTCTATAGTCTAGTCTATAGTCTAGTCTATAGTCTAGTCTATAGTCTAGTCTATAGTCTAGTCTATAGTCTAGTCTATAGTCTAGTCTATAGTCTAGTCTATAGTCTAGTCCAGGGATGTTAAAGTTGGTACAATTGTACTTTTTTTGGTACATTTTGACCTTCTAAAGTACCGTGGTACTACCGCGACTCATTTGATACAATTTAAAATGTTTTTCCCCTCTTTTTATTGTGTCTATTTCATTGCATTTATGATGTACAAAAACCACATGCAATTTGTTTATGTTGGCCAGAGTTGTAAAAGTCTGTCTTTTGTTTTTTGTTTGCATTTACGTTTGTAGTAGTATTCGCAACAACAAACACTAGTAAATTTGACAGTTTTCGCCTTTGTGAAGAAAAAAATATTCAACTGTGCTATAGACACCACTTGTAATGAATACACCTTGATATTGACACTTGTTTGTTTTGCTGAGCTTATTCAAATTCTGAAGTGAAAATATTTTTGTATTTTTACTTTTTATTTTTTAATTAAAACTAAAAAAACTAGTTTATTATTATATTTAGAAATGGATTTCGATGAAGCTGGGTAAGATATTATATATTATCAAGGTATTTGAAAATTAATTTTATTTTTTTTGTAGAACAAGCAAGCAGGCAAAACCGTACGTTGTACCATTTCGTGAGGAATGGGCAAAATTATTTCCATGGCTAGAAAAAGAAAAAGACGGAAAAGGCAAAAAATGTACTCTCTGTAGAGTTCCCATAATTGGTGGTGTTGCACACATAAAAAGACACGCCTCACGGGATGCCCACGTTAAAAACATGAATGCCACGAAAACTACCCCAAAAATTAATAATTTTTTGACCATCGCCGCTAGATGTCCTGTAGCAGAGTCGGCTAGAAAATTAGAAATAATGCTCAGTGCATTTGTAGCTGAGCATAACATTCCGTTTGCCACATTGGACCACCTCAACCACATAATAAAAAATGGTATAAACGACTCGCAAATTACTAAAAAATTTAATATATATAGACAAAAAGGTCAGCAAATCGTAACAAATCTAACTGGGCCTGAAAATACCACTTCAATTTCCAAATTTTGCCAAAATAATTACTATTCCTTAGTGATAGACGAAAGTACAGATTGCAGCATTTCTAAAAACTTACCTATAGTTATTCGAACTTTTGATGGTCAATGCCGAGATAGATTTTTAGGAATGGTGCAGCTAGAGGACTCCACTGCAAATGGTATATATGAAAGCACCATTAAAGCGCTACGTGAAAAAAATATTCCCATTCAAAATATGCTTGGCATTACAACGGACAATTGCGCGGTCATGATGGGATCTCAAAATGGAGTTCAAATTAAATTTAAAAATTTAGTGCCTCAATTATTTTCAAATGGGTGTATTTGCCACATTTTAAATTTAGCTTCTGTGGCTGCCGCAAAACTCGGAATTCCGAACGAAATTGATAAATTTATAAGAGATATTAACTACTATTTTTACAACAGTGCTAGTCGAAGAGTCGATTTTGTTAAATTCCAAGAATATTTCGGGGCTGATATTCACATAATATTTAAATATGCAACAACCAGATGGCTTTCTCGGCAAGAAGTCGTTGACCGGATTGTGGAACAATGGGAGCCACTACAATACTATTTTACCTTAGAAAATTTTGAGGAGGATGTCAGAAACGAAAAATTATTGTTTCTTTCATCAGGATTTAAAAATCCTTCTTTTAAATTGCATTTTTTATTTATGCAATATATACTTAAAATTATTAACATGGTTAATTTAGAAATGCAATCAGAAGATGCGCGAATTCATGTATTTTTACAAAGGCTAACTTTTTTATTCCGTCAAATAGCACGTAATTTCATGAGAAAAAATGTTTTGGATGACTGTGATATATCTATCGTAGACCTTTACAAAAATCACATGCCCATTGAAGAAATTTATTGCGGAACAGAAGTGGATTTATATATTTCTACAAATAATATCAATATTGATATTGTTAAAGAAATTAAAGAAAATGCCAAACAATTTTATATCAAATTTTGCGAAGTTTTAAGAACTAAAGTCAACTTTAATAACGAAGTATTAATGTGGTTCTAGTAAAAATGTTTCCGAATGAAATTGCTAATTTTGATTCAATTAATAATCAATTTAGAGCTTTAGCTGATGTCGAGCGACTGAAGTCGTTAAAAAATGAAAACATATGTGGTTTTTGGTCGGTAGTAGCTAATTTACAAAATGAGATGAATGTCCATATGTTTCCAGATATTTCTAGAGTCGTTGCTGGAATTTTATCCATTCCACATTCGTCTGCAAATGTGGAAAGAGTTTTTTCTTTTCAAAATATAATTAAAACTAAGGAAAGAAACAGACTACATGTGCCAACATTATCAAGTCTCATACAGACAAAAGATTGGTTAAGATCGACAAATTCATGCTGCTATGATGTAAAAATACCAAATAGTTTATTAACTAAACAAATAAGTTCCTGATTTTGATCTCATATTTTCATAAGACTTTTATGTACCTTATTTTATTCATACATATAATGTATGTTAATGTTAAGTTTTGTTTTTTATGTACAATTGAATTTTTATGTACTTTTTTATGTTTTAATAAATTTAAAAAAAAATGGTACCGCGAAGGTCCAAAAAGTACAATTTTTTTTGGAGGGTGGTACAAAATTGAAAACCCTATTTAACATCCCTGGTCTAGTCTATAGTCTAGTCTATAGTCTAGTCTATAGTCTAGTCTATAGTCTAGTCTATAGTCTAGTCTATAGTCTAGTCTATAGTCTAGTCTATAGTCTAGTCTATAGTCTAGTCTATAGTCTAGTCTATAGTCTGGTCTATAGTCTGGTCTATAGTCTAGTCTATAGTCTAGTCTATAGTCTAGTCTATAGTCTAGTCTATAGTCTAGTCTAGTCTATAGTATAGTCTAGTCTATAGTCTAGTCTATAGTCTAGTCTATAGTCTAGTCTATAGTCTAGTCTATAGTCTAGTCTATAGTCTAGTCTATAGTCTAGTCTATAGTATAGTCTATAGTATAGTCTATAGTCTAGTCTATAGTCTAGTCTATAGTCTAGTCTATAGTCTAGTCTATAGTCTAGTCTATAGTCTAGTCTATAGTCTAGTCTATAGTCTAGTCTATAGTCTAGTCTATAGTCTAGTCTATAGTCTAGTCTATAGTCTAGTCTATAGTCTAGTCTATAGTCTAGTCTATAGTCTAGTCTATAGTCTAGTCTATAGTCTAGTCTATAGTCTAGTCTATAGTCTAGTCTATAGTCTAGTCTATAGTCTAGTCTATAGTCTAGTCTATAGTCTAGTCTATAGTCTAGTCTATAGTCTAGTCTATAGTCTAGTCTATAGTCTAGTCTATAGTCTAGTCTATAGTCTAGTCTATAGTCTAGTCTATAGTCTAGTCTATAGTCTAGTCTATAGTCTAGTCTATAGTCTAGTCTATAGTCTAGTCTATAGTCTAGTCTATAGTCTAGTCTATAGTCTAGTCTATAGTCTAGTCTATAGTCTAGTCTATAGTCTAGTCTATAGTCTAGTCTATAGTCTAGTCTATAGTCTAGTCTATAGTCTAGTCTATAGTCTAGTCTATAGTCTAGTCTATAGTCTAGTCTATAGTCTAGTCTATAGTCTCTATAGTCTAGTCTATAGTCTAGTCTATAGTCTAGTCTATAGTCTAGTCTATAGTCTAGTCTATAGTCTAGTCTATAGTCTAGTCTATAGTCTAGTCTATAGTCTAGTCTATAGTCTAGTCTATAGTCTAGTCTATAGTCTAGTCTATAGTCTAGTCTATAGTCTAGTCTATAGTCTAGTCTATAGTCTAGTCTATAGTCTAGTCTATAGTCTAGTCTATAGTCTAGTCTATAGTCTAGTCTATAGTCTAGTCTATAGTCTAGTCTATAGTCTAGTCTATAGTCTAGTCTATAGTCTAGTCTATAGTCTAGTCTATAGTCTAGTCTATAGTCTAGTCTATAGTCTAGTCTATAGTCTAGTCTATAGTCTAGTCTATAGTCTAGTCTATAGTCTAGTCTATAGTCTAGTCTATAGTCTAGTCTATAGTCTAGTCTATAGTCTAGTCTATAGTCTAGTCTATAGTCTAGTCTACAGTCTAGTTTATAGTCTAGTCTATAGTCTAGTCTATAGTCTAGTCTATAGTCTAGTCTATAGTGTAGTCTATAGTCTAGTCTATAGTCTAGTCTATAGTCTCGTCTATAGTCTAGTCTATAGTCTAGTCTATAGTCTAGTCTATAGTCTAGTCTGTAGTCTAGTCTGTAGTCTAGTCTGTAGTCTTACTTTAAATCTTTCCGTTAGCTTTCCTTCAAACTTACATTTTTATGTTCTATTTTTTTAAATTTCTAAATATTATTTTTTTATAACTTTCAAAACTATAGCGAAAGAAATCAACTTAAAAAAGTAAAATCATAAATATCCTAAAGCTATTTTTGAATGATTTTCTGCCATAACTAATAATATTTTATGAGTAAAAGCATAAAGAAATACTGGAACTTAATATTTAAAGAGGCTAACTAATATGAAAAGAAAACTTAAAATTAAGAACAAAGATGGCAACCCAAAGATGACCCAAACTTAAGTTATTGTTAGAAGATAAAGAAAACAGAAATTGCTAAAAACACCAACACAAATCCATTAGAAGTAAGACATGCATTTTTGAAAAGAATTCAAACAATAATATTAAAATACATATTTTGCAAAACAATGACTAGTATGCATTTAACACTTTTGTTATTATTAAACAGAATTCCTATTTTAAAAGTAAATAGTTTTTTGCATAAGCCTCAGTTTTTTGCACATTTAGCTCAGTGGGTTGTTGTTATTTAGACGCTGGAATTGTTAATCATAAAAATTTAGTTCTTTTTGAAATCAATTTATTTGTTGCTGCCTACACTTGCACTTGTTAGTGACAATTTTATGCAACACAATTGTCATAACATGTGTTGATTGCATATCTAATTTGTTTAAAAAATATTTGTTATTGTGACTTTTTAGAAAGCAGCAATTTGTTGTAGTGTCAAAAAAATTGTACAATTTGATTTATGATAAGTATTATGTAAAAGTAATTATAAAAAGTTTAGTTATATAAACCTCAGAGATTATTATTGATTTTTAGTTTGTCGTTTTCGAGGCTAAGGAGAAGCAATGCGCTTTTCTATTTTAGATTAACATCAAATGCTTTTCTACCCAGTAAAATATTTTCAAATGTTGCTAATGAGTATTGTAGGTAGTTATTTAATACATTACTTGGTAATGGGTATATAGCCAATTGTCTATAGCGTATGTCTAATAGGGTATTATTTAGTGGTTCTGACCTTATCCGATATTAGAAGTTTTTTAAAGAAACATTGATTTTTACATTTGTGTAAAAACCATTTCAGATAGAATGGAGCATTGGGTAAGAGAATATACAATAAATATAGAAAATAACTGTAAAGCCGTATTTAAATCCGGAAAAGTCGAGTAAGCACATCTGTAACTAGTTATTTTTGGTCATTCTCGACCACCCAAAAAGTAAGTACTTACACTTTGTTCCAACATTACTTGCCCAATTACCGGGTAAGTAAAGATTTTGCTGGGTAGTAAGTCGGCTTAAGGATTCAACAGAAAAACTCTCAGAAATGTGGTCGTTATACCTAAAATGAAGAACTGCAAATCCTGTGCTAATGAAGGACTGCAAATCCTGTACACCCAAATGATGTGATCCCGGTCCATATTTATGACTTAACGACTTTCTCCAAAATGTTTAGGAAATCTCAGTCACAGGAATTCTTCAATATTGTAGTCTGTAGTACATTGTATTCTATAGTCTGCACTATAGTGTAGTCTATAGTCTGGACTATATTCTAGTCAATAGTAACTATACAACTTTACTATTAGTGACATTGTGAATACATAGCCTTGCATCATTCAGTGCTTTCAATTCTAATGTGATAAGATCGAAACGGGTCCGCATTTAGTATATTCGTTCTGCGAATTAGCATTCAAAAAGTCGAAACGAATGTTAACTAGTCTCTCTGACACAAACAAGGATCTGTGCTCCTGTGCACTTATTAGAAACTATTCTTCGCACCTCAAATGTAATTATTATTACAAATTTTTGAGAATTTTTCTAACTTTGGAATAAGTTTGATAAATTGATTATTTTAGGAAACATTTATGCTAAATTCTCTTCTATCAAGACAATTTTTGATAAGCTCGTAATTTAAAGAGAAATTCTTGATTAGAAAAAATCTCGAATTATCTACGACATCGATTGTGATTTAGAAAAATATGTTACCTTATTCAATATTTATAGCAATTAGAACAATTAGAAATAGACAAGAAATAAAACAAAATTTAGTAAGAATTTCTTAAAAAAGTGTTTAATATTGAAAATCAC